CCCCCCCCCCCCCCCCTGTCCCCCTTGCACTCGGCATCGACACCTTCCGTTTTTGCGACAGCTTGTCAGCGTGATTCGCGAGGAGATCGTGGAAGAGCAGCGAGGGCGCCACGGGTTGAGCCAGATCAACCCGGTGGCAACGGCGGCGGCGGGGGCGGGAGCAGGCCACGAGGGGGGCGGTGGCGGAGGAGGGGAGGCTGCCATCGAGACCATCCTCATGAAGGCGAGTGTTGGGAGTGAAAAGCCTGCACACAGACTGCTGTTAGATTTTTTATTTTGATGGTTGTTCGTTTTTTTTTTTGGAATGGGAGTGTGTCTGGCCGCCGCTGCCTGCCCCGCTTCGGCCTCGTCGTGTTGTTGAACGTTTGGTTGAGAGATGCGTATGATACAATGTTCTCTTCTTTTCTTCCCCTTCTTGGGCGCGTGCGACACATGTCTGTGCAGTTTGCGTCCACGCCTCCGGTCGGCATTCCCTTACCTTACCTTCCCTCCCCAACCAATCTAGCCCCGATCCCCTATCCCGTAACCCCTACCCCCCAATCCACTGTTCCCTAATTCATACCCCCTCACGCCATGTCCCCGAACCACTGTTCCCGATCCCCTATCCCCTAACCCCTCACCCCCCCCGATACCCTGTTCCCTATTTCATGCCCCCCACCCCATACATCCCCGAACCCCTAACTAAGCGCTATCCCCTAACCCCTCACCCCCCCCGTCACCAGCTGGTGCAAGACTCCCAAGAAAGGTTGATCTACATGGCCACCAAAGTTATCCAGGTGAAGGAAAATACAGCAAGCAGTAGCACGTGATGTAGTAGTAGTGAGGAACGAACGGAATCGGTGTCCGTCCGCCTGGGGTGAATTTGTTTGGGGAAGCCGACCCCCCTTTTTTCCGCTTCTGGTGGAATTGCTTTCTCGGTCATGGTGCATGGTGGGGTAACGTCTAGCGAGCACTTATTGGTACAGGTTGTTCTGGTGCGTATGTACGAAGAGGTTGTAGAAGGAGCGAGCGGTGTTTGATCGTGGGTTGTAGATTGGCGTTGCTGCGGACTGCTGTGTCTTTCCTGACGCGTGTCTTGGTATGACGACGACCCTGCCCCCCCGTTGGTTCTGCGGCGAAGCTTGCGCCGCTTTGTCTGTCTCTCTCACCGTTCCGTTTCAACAACAACAACAACAACACCAACACCAACAACCACACGCAGGACGATATCGCAAGCTTCCGGCCCACCCCCGAAGACCTCGACTACCCTGGCATGCTTCTACGAGCAGCGAAGGGCGGTGGCACCGGCGACAGCTTAGTCAACGCTAGGACAGGGCCGGGGGATCAACCGTCGCCTTCTTCCCCTCCTTCTTCTGGGAAGGGGAGCGCACCGGCGTACACGACGTGGTACCCGCCGCTGCGATCGACGCTGCAGGTGCCGCTGGGTGCTGGTGGTTGGTGTGTTGGCATATTAGTATGTGTTGGGTGTTGAGAGTTTCGTCATTTGTTCGAAATCCTCGCTGATGCTGTTTGTTGGCGGTGTCGAGAAACGGTCGCTGATGTTTGTAGTATGTAGTGTTGCAATCTTCGTTGTTGACGTTGTTGCTGTGGGTGTTAAAGCGTTGGTGTAACGGGGCTCGTCTTTGTCCCGGCTATCTTTACTGCACTGGCTGTCTTCGACTTGACCCAGCCTCGAACACACCTCCACAGAACCACGCCCGCGGAGAACAAACGTATACCCGGAGAGGTTGCCCTTTAACGCCTTAAAAACATGGCATTCACACACACACACGTCTTTTCATTGGTCAGCCGGTTAGCGCGGTCGACGCTAATAATACACACACACACACATACGTGAGAAAAAACCGTGCCAACTACTCCCGCCACCACCACCAACAATCAACCCCAAAGGGGTGTATGTCCCTCCACCTGCCCCTCGGTTGAGTCGGACGGCGGGGATGCCGATGTAGGGGGCATGTCTCCGCTATCCCCGCGTACCCGGGACGTCAAAGTGTTGGGAAACCCCCCGCGTGGTGAAAAAGAGTTTTTTTTCGTCCCTCAGGGTATATAGGCGACAGCGAGTGGATGTTGACAAGAATGTTCCTCCGTTGACATATATGTGGGTTGAATGATGCGGCGCGGGATGTGACCTCCGTTGATGTATATGGGTTGTGTGATGCGACGGTGCGGAATGCGACACGGTGCGGAAATTGTGATGCGACGCAGGTGCTCAGCAAGGTGTACCGCGCGGTGGACATGGGAGTGTTCGAGGACCTGGCCCAGCTGTCGGTGGCGGCGTGCGCGGAGTCTTTGAAGGTGAGGCGGTGGTTGACGTGGTTCACTTGCTCACTAGTTAACTGTGGTTGGGTCTCTGATGGGACACCGGTTTTTCCGGCGTTCCGGTACTACACTAGAGAAGCAGAGGCTCAACCATGATTTTTCCACGAAGATTATTGTAGTAAAACGGGGATCGTTTCACTGAACTCTAGTGTTGGAAAATGGGGATCGTGTATACAACACTAGGCTCTAGTAGTAAAAAGTAGAAGAGCCTGTGGTCGACGAGGTCGAGCGGCGGTAAAAGAGTGACCGAAACTAGATAGCTAAATGGCCCATGTCTCGCCAACAGCAGCAGCGGCAACGGCGGTGGGATTGTCACTGCCTGCTTCTTTGGAGCGGGAAACTCTTGTTGCGGTCCAGGGTCATCGGTGATCGGCCCATACAGCATGCGTAAGACAAACAAGGAAGACAGCCTGCGGGGACCCCCAAGACACACCAAGAATCACAGAAGACGTACAGATACTACACGATAGATGATAAACGCCCGCGTATTTTTCTGTCGTGTGTCGTGTTCTTAGGTCGGTGCCTGCACGGGACACTCTTTCTCCTCGCCGAAAGAGGGTTCTTCCATCCTACCATCCTACCATCAAGCAGACACAAATAGTTGATTGACGCCAACGCAGACATGTAGAAACCCCCTTTTCGGCGAAAACCGGGAAGGCGTATCGCTCCGTTCCGGCGTTATACAGGGATGTCTCGAGGTCAGTAGTCTATCGACCGCGACATGGGTTTACATGAGTACCCGCCCGCCCGTTTCTCCGTTGTATTCCCGAACAGAAAGCGGCGGTCTCCATTAGCGCCGGCGTTACAGCAGGCTCGGCGCCATCGCCGCCGGTGTCCAGCGGGGGGGGAGGGCGGGGGGCACCCGGAGGAGCGTTGGCGGGGGGCTCTGTCGTTCCCCGAGCAGGAGCAGCAGCAGCACCCCCCGCAGGGTCGGGGGAGGGGGGTCTCGACGCCCAGCTGTTCCTGATCAAGCACCTGCTGACGCTGAGGGAGCAGCTGACGCCGTTCCACATACAGTTCGTGCACGCGGAGCAAAAGCTCAACTTTGGGTCGACAAGGTGTGAGTTGGAACCCTTGGTTAGAGATGAAAACTTTTTGTCTGCCGAGCGTATGTACCCGGGAGGAAAAGGCGGGCGCAACAGAACAAAACTGAACAGTGTTTGAATCTCCTTTTTGGACCTCAGCTGATCCGTCAAACGTGGTTGCCGAAAGGTGTGCATAGTAGACTGGCACGAGCACACACACACAAGGTTGGTTGGTCGTAGTTTTTCGTCTTCTTGTTGTTGTTGTTGTTGTTGTTGTTGTTGTTGATGTTGATGCTGTTGTTGTTGTTGTTGTTGTTGTTGTTGTTGTTGTTGTTGTTGTTGTTGTTGTTGTTGTTGTTGTTGTTGTTGTTGTTGTTGTTGTTGTTGTTGATGCTGTTGTTGTTGTTGTTGATGTTGATGTTGATGCTGTTGTTGTTGTTGTTGATGTTGATGCTGTTGTTGTTGTTGTTGTTGTTGTTGTTGATGTTGATGTTGTTGTTGTTGTTGATGTTGATGCTGTTGTTGTTGTTGTTGTTGTTGTTGATGTTGATGCTGTTGTTGTTGTTGTTGATGTTGATGTTGATGCTGTTGTTGTTGTTGTTGTGGTTGTTGTGTTCGTTGCTGTTTTTTTTAGCTCTTTGGAGGGTCCCAAGTCCCAAGGTTGGTGTTTGTGGCGACGGATGTCGGTGGCATTCTACGTACGAAGCAATTTGTTTTTCCATGCATACAGAAGTATTTTCGGGTCGTTAGCAGTGGGAGACTGTTCGGGGAGCCGTCGGTCTGTTTTCGAGCGAATTCCGACATGTTTCGGAGCAGCATTCGACAGTTTCATTCACTGACCAGACAGGCGATTTGTGCAAGATACTTTGTATGCTCTAAATCTGTGTTTATATTTTTTCACTTCTTTTTCAGCACCTTTCGACCGCTGCATTTGCTGAAGAAACGGACTGAACAATCTACTTCTTCGTACATGCTCTTTTTTTTTTTTTTTGCAGGATGGCCTTGCGGAAGTTCATCAGGCACACGCCCGCCCTGTTCCGGCTTTCGAGCAAGAACGCCCTGGTGGAGCTTACGGTGGACAGCATCCCCACCATCGACGAAGTCCAGGCAAGCATTATAGTACAGTCGAGGGACCTCTACAGTAGTGCAGGGGTGTGTCCAGAGATATTACCTTCACTGTAACCGGGCACCTGCGCTTTCAGGATCGAGGAATATATAGGTTTTAGTACACCAGCTCAAATCCTTGTCAGCAGATTTCACCGGCACCATACGAGGCACCTGCACTAGAGGTCCCTCGACTGCTGTATCTAGGTAGACATTCCGCCGGTGAGCGACACAAGGTATCACACCCCCTAGACAGACCAATTTTCAAAGCTCGATTTATCCACCAGCAGAAGAGAGTGGCAGCGGCGAAAACGGCGGTATCGAAGCCGTCTGTCTCGTCGAGAGCTTTTTTTCCCGAAAGGTATTGTAATCGGTTCAAGTATGCATCCTTCCTCGTCGCGGAGTAATCCAGCTTCGAAAATCGGTCTAGGGGGTGTGGTGTCTTGTGTCGTATCCGGTAGTTTCACACTAACGCAACCATCGAACGGCAGTGCAAGTTGGTCGGATGTGCTTGGCCTCGTGTCTGTGGCGTGGTTCTGCGGGGTACGTTATAATCCGCAGCAATT